TCCATCTTCATGCCTGGAAGTTATCACTCAGAAGATGCAAGATTCTTCGTAATCCAAATCTGTCTCAGCAGAAGTGGTGCAATGTTGGATAACATTTCCGTCTGCCATTTACAACAACCTTTGGAACAAGTTCTGTGAACAGACTTGACATCATTCCTTGGAGGGTGTTAAAATGAGTTGTTGGCACATACGGAAAAAGACTTTTGTAATGGGTATGACTACAGCAGCTAGAGTCCCAGGACTCCATGCCCTCATTTTCTGAAGCCTCACACTAATCCACAGCTCTGGGAAAGTGGGGATACAGACATTACTTGAGCTCTGCACTCAGTACAGGCTTGGAACTATTAGATTGTCATCTCTGTCCAGTTCATGTGCCTCAATTTTACCAGGCAGTGACACAGACAAATAGGAGGCACAGGAGACATCTTGGGCGACAATTTTTTTATTTCTTGGTTTACGGATTTCAAATTCATTTCAAAAGCGAGGCAGGCCAATTTAAAAAAAAAAGCCTCTCACATTTTTTAACTTGAATTTTATCCTAAAAAGTTAGGTAGGTATGGAAAAAAATATCCTGGAGTAACAAAAGTAAAATAAATCAATTTTTCAAGAACCTTTTATTATATCCCTAGCACTTGGCAATATAAAAATATTCATGTCATGGGTGGAAATGCTTGAAAGACGCTGCTATTTTGGCAGCATGGGCAACGTCTAACTCTTTCAGCACCAGCCAACCAAAGATTACTGCTGTGACACCAAGTTCCCAGAGACTCTTTTGTGATAGATGAAGCCAACATTTATCAAGGAAATTATCTGCTTGTAAAACATCTTTGCTACTACATGTTCGGCCATACACTATTTGAAAGGTCTAATGAATCCTATTGTTTATAAATATGAAAGTTATGTGTATTACATTATTTAAATAATTCATTAACATCTTAATAAAGTTCATTTTAAATAAAAATAATGTAAGCTAAAACATTTATAAAGTCCAGATTAAGGACCAATGAAGCAAAAATTTAATGATTTTCGGCAAATATAAGAATTAATAAAATCCACTCACCTATTTCTTTTTTATTTTCATTTGTTTACGTAGTCGGAACATTATTTTAAAAAGAATTACAAATAATATCTGTCATCACCCATTTCCCGATGATAGTGGCTGTCTGCTCATTCACATGAGGAAATACCTCCGTTTCCAAAGCTTCGTATGAATAACACATACGTCGAAGGCTGCCATGTCAGTATGCTTTAAAAAAACTTATATTGTTTCACTGACATAATCTGCTACAAGGTTCGTGATTGGTCAAATTTAAGCACGTGACCTAAGGCAGCCAATCAAATTACAGCAAAGGTAATTTTCAGACTTTGGCGAAAGGTTTGGGTTAAATCATGTTATTCTGAACGTTTTAAGCATGAAATCGCAATCTATGTTAAAAATATGGAACTTTATGGATGCATAGTGCTAGGTTACGAGCTGTGACAAAGATTTCTTTTGCATATATTTTGGCATTAATGACATTGTGTCCAAGCCGAGAAATCGGGGAGACGAAAGCCGAGATGTCATTTGATTTACGATTACACGTGATCGTACGGAAAGATGGAAATAATAACTTAGATGACAGTTTGGCAACTTTTAGATATATTTTTGTTGATTTTATTACTTTGTATAATATATTCAAAGATTTGCTTAAAACATCTTTATTTTGCTGTTTGACATGTTCGATGAGGACCCATTGTCATAGTGTGTCCAAGAATTTAATTTTCAATAACATTGCGGGAAATAGTGTCCAATGAATAAAGTTTTAATCTATAGATACAGGAAATCTTTTTGTTTGAACTTTTTTACGAAAAGATCGGCAGTAAGAAAAGAAAGGGTTATTTTCATTTATTTTATTTTTTTAACATTTGGACTTTGAAAGAGCGGTGCATCCCTAAACCAAGAAATATAAAAAGTGGCGCCTTGTCATTGCATTTGTGAGACAGTCTCAGATAAAGACATTAATAAAGCCAATGTAGCTATATGGCTTAAAACCATGCTCTCAGGGAGATATCAGCATGCAAAGCTAAGAACTCTTGTATTTGGATCCTTCACAGCTCATGAAATAAGAGCTCTGTCTATCAGCCTTGTGACCTGGAACGAGTGGTCTCCAGCTGCAAGTGGAGATGCGAAAACGTTTGTTAGCTTCAACTTGTGAGACATACAACCAGACTTGTAGGGACTTGATTGTCTTGGACCAGTGGTGGCATCACGTCTTTGTGACTCTAGCTTTCTCCTCCTTGAGGGAAAAATGGAGTGGAGAAGAGACAAGAAGTTCCCAGTCAGCAGCCTTGGAAGTAGTAACCTTTTGTACCATATTGTCTGCAAAGTGTAGGACAGGTCATAGTTTAACAGATGGTCACAAGACTGATGTCAAAGCCATCGGAAGTGATGTCAGAACCAGAAGTGGTCTGTTAGGAGCAATCTGATTGGATCATCTGATGACCGGATGCAAATACAACAGTAGTTCTGTGGAAGCGTCTCACATATTTTTTTGGTCCTTGAAATGCTTCCAAATTTCTTCCTTTTGATGTGATTCGGTTTATTGTATACTTATTATTGGTCAAACGCTTGTTTAGTTTGGCTTTGGATCCACCAACGACTGTTAGCTATGAAGAGTTTTACGAGATATCAGAACTCACCGGACAGTCCCTCTGAAGTATTCTGTCAGTGATTATTATGTATTTGCTGGAATTATCCAAAAATACCAAACTTCCTTGATTATAGTATGCACTTTTAAAAAATAAATAAACGACAGTTGACGACAGACCAAGGTCAGGAAGACCAAGGGTGACAACCCAAGCACAAGATCGATACATCCGGCTGCGACACCTCTGAGACCGCACTACCACAGCCACGTCTACAACCACACAGATTCCTGGGGTAAGCAGAATATCAGATCAAACGGACCGCAACAGAATGAGGGAGGCTGGACTTTTTGCACGAAGACCTGTTCGACGTCATGTATTGACCCCATGTCATCTGGCGGACCGTCTGCTTTGGTGCCAACAGAGGGTTAGATGGGCACGTCCAAGGTGGAGAAATGTACTGTTTACTGACGAGTCCCGTTTCCTACTCACACGTGCTGATGGGTGCGCACGTGTCTACAGACGTCGGGGTGAAGGTTACGCCCCCAACTGTGTGCAGCAGGTTGTCCCATTTGGCGGCGGGAGTGTCATGGTATGGGCCGGAATTCATCACGGTGGTAGGACGCCTCTCGTGCATGTGGCAGGTGCATTGACAGGTGTGCGTTACAGAGACTTGATCCTACAGCCTTACGTTCTTCCTCACGTCAACGTTCATGGCGGACAGTTACAGCAGGACAACGCTCGACTGCATATTGCACGTGTTTGTCAGGACTTCTTACACCACAACAACATCCAGACATTACCTTGGCCAGCCCGGTCACCAGATTTGTCCCCGATTGAGCATCTGTGGGACGAGTTGGATTGACACTTTCTCAGAAGGAATCCACCGCCCAAAACACTTCCGGCGCTTCTTGATGCACTTCAGCATGAATGGCAGCACATCCAACAGCGTGTTTTTGACAACTTGATTGCATCTATGGGTCGTCGGTGTCAAGCGGTGATTGATGCATGTGGTGGGCACAACCTATACTGACATTTTCTGTACCCCTGTCACATTAACTGTATGGTGTATGTGTGTCTGTCTAGGTGACACGATTAATGTTTTTAACATTGTGTACATTGATCTTCAAACAGTGTTTCAATTATGGTTTCTGTGTCCTATTTTGAAACAATCGCATTATATTACATTTTGAAAGTCAGTGTCAAGTTTCTTTTTTTGAAGAGTATATATATAGTAAAAGCTGGGATTAAAATAACACAATATCTGAATATATTATTATGGGGACTTGGACAAAGGTTGGAGTTTTCCGGGGCTCAAGACATCCAACAAAGTGAAGTTTGGAAAAGCAAACATCATGTTGTGAGAGATAAGTACAAGGTCTGAATGCTGTACTAGGTTTATAAGGCGTATGGAAATCTCAGTGCCCAGAATGCTGGTAGTGAAGGGGCGTACCATTTATTTCACTGTCCCTGTCCGGATTGTATTTTGTTCGTTTATTGCAAATCTGGAAAGCTCAGCGAGCAGGAAAGTACTGTGAAAACTGAGAGTGACAATCTTATTTCTTTAAGTCACTTTCGCTCATTGTCAAACAAGCCAGTACATGATTAAGGAAATAATCCCTCACATCTTGAGTTTCCCTTATTACATATTGTCGCTTAGTATCAATAGCCCCTTTACTAAGTTCACTAACCTGCCACAAGTTGCTACACATTACCGTAAATCATAGATCAAATAACAGATTCACTACCATAATCTTAATCTGTTTTACTCATTTCTAAATGTTCACGTCAGCAGCAGTCCCCTGAGAACACTTCTGTAACTGCTGCCGATACATATACATATATGCATACAGTAATCAGCTTGCGCATTTGATGTAAGGGGTGCACTCATTGTAAAGTTTGGCTAGTGTGGGTGTGTGGACGTTATTCTGTAATTTTGAACTTTTTGAGTCATGAGGGGAATTTTATGCTAATTTGGGTACTTGGGATGATAAAGCACCGGTTCTAAATTACTACAAAGAGATATCTACTCTACAGTGGGACTACATCAAATTTCAAAACACAGTAAGTTTATCTCCTAAATACATTTCAGAATAGTTGGAATTGTACAATGGATTCTACTTTTGATTGAGGCAGTTTCTGAGGCATGGTTATATTTATTTTATGCATGTGTTTTTACAAATCCTACCACATAAACTGTTGGTGCTATATGTATTAAAGATGAAGGTCATAGACTAGTACATGGTGGTATTTTAAGACTTCAGTAGCTTTGTAGAAGTGGCTGTGAAGGGGCTGCTTCTGTTTTTGTTGCTTCAAGTACTTGCATACACCTGTTGTTGAATAATTTGGTAATATGACCATTATTTATCATGCAGGGAGGGAGAGAGCTCATGAGACTGATGGGATACACGCAAGAGATTGAGGATGGGCTGTTTTTCCCTGAACCAGAGGAACCTAACCTTGATCAGACAGCAAATATGGTTGCAGACATCATACTGGCAAAGAAGCAGATGGAAATGTACCTGAGTGGAGTGCATCCTAATCAGACTGAAGTTGAACAGTTTATTCCACCAAATGTTGTGTAAGTGTGCTGGAAGAAAATGAAAATTGATAGAAAATTGTGAAACATTAAAGGTGCACAATGTCTAAGATGACTTTACAAGATTAGCAAATCTTTTGAGATAATTTGAAACTGAGACTTTGTTATTTAAACCATGGCTCCTTTGTCTTTGATTGGGTGTTAACTAACTGAGTTGTTAGTTAAACACCATATGTCAATGTTTGAATTTGACTGCTGCTACATTATTTTGGTGAACCAGAAGCGCATATCACTTTCCTTTTTAGCTCACCAGACTGAAAGTGTTTGCTGCAGTCTCGATATGGATGAAATCCCGATATGATTAACAGCAGTGGCCTACCTGATGACTTTTTAATCATAGCGTCCATTTGGGCAATAGAGTGCAATAGAAGTCTCTCTATGTTATGCAAGACCTTAAAGTTGTTAGGTTTTAGAATAAACCGGTCAAAGGTCAGCAGTCATGCTCAAATGTTGGTATTTCTTGGCATTCTCATCAACACTGCAACCATGACTCTATCATTAACTGCTAAGAAGATTGGTGAATTGAAAGAAATCTTGGATGATTACTCAGTGCATCAATGAGCCAATAACTAAGTGACAGCTGCAGTCTTTGGCAGGTTTATTGAACTGAGCTAGCCAGGTGATTCTTGGTGGCCGAACATTCTTACATTGGGTAACTGAACTTCAATCTACTGTTCAGTTCCCCTCTCACTGAGCCCACCTTTGCAGTCACTTTGGAAATCAAGCTGATCACATAAGCAATACTGGAGGATGGACCCGTGACCTCAGTGCAAACAGATGCCTGCAACTATGGGACAGGTGGTTATTTTCAGAGTGACTTATTTTTTTTTATTAATAGGCACCAGGACATACATTAAACAGATTCACTTAACCACATGAGGTACCTTGACATCGAAAGAATGTTTCCTACTGCGGTACAAATATTCGATGTCCCGGCCCATGACACTTATGCAGCACCCAATGGTAGAATGTCTTGCTCTGCATGTCTGGCTAATCTGCAAAGGGCACTAATGTCACATGGCTTTCTAGGATGGCAGGTCAAGCATTTTTCAATGATGGTTGGATCTCCACCAGTTCAGTATGTGACAACAAGTGTGATTCTTTTGTCCGAAAAAAGCTTTGACATAGTTTCAGGCTGACTTCATCCTCTTCCTTTTTGAGTCCTAAGTGTCTGATATGGGACTTTATCACCAAAAACCAACAACTTGGCCAGGAAAACCGTAGGTTTACGATCTTCTCTCTCTCGTCAAGGCACGTGCCAGCAAACCAAGAGTATCCAAGAACACCTTATCCTAATATTGTTAAGGGTGACTATTTTGGAGGCCTGTCGGCACCATGAGAATTACAGCCGCCACAAACAATCCACTTCAGGCCTTTCTTATGCACTAGCATTAGACACAAACTGCTCCCTCATTGACATCATCAATGGTTGCTGTTGGCAGACATTCCACATTTGCCTACTGCTACTTGCGAGATCTGTTGATTGTCTTCATCATCAGGGTCCTCTGATTTTGGTACCACTACTCATTGATCCTAAAAGATGTCATTAACATCACCTCAATCCTGTCTGCAAAGACTGCTAGGTTTGGTGGATCCTTCTCAATCAACAGAAGTTCTGGCATGGACCAAAGATGGACGTTTTGTAGGTACTAACTTTTGTTAGGTTATATTGGTTCAGGGAAGTTTCTTGTCAGGTTCCACACTGAAATGATCAGTGTAAGGATATGCACTGTTAACTACCTGACCACACATACCTCAAGATATCAGTACAAGGTTGTGATACATACGTAGCTGAGTACTGACCAAACTTCTTGTGCTGATGATACAACTAGTAAACACAACACGGCACCTGGGAAGATGCTACTTTTATTAATTTACCAAAATTTGAATATTTCAAATATTAAGTACTTATCCTGATACTCCATGGATGAGTCCCTCCTGGCTTCCCCTCATCCTGGTTTCTGTCCTTTCTTGGCATTTTGAAGAAGAGGATCAAGGGCAAATAACTACCAACTGGTGACTGTGGACAGTGGGTGACTTTCTTGCAAAATGTTTTCACTCCCCAGAGATTTTTAAAATTATCCTATCTCACACTTTGCATTTCTTCCTCCTTCTTCAATCCTATGTGGAAACATGCTTGAACCATGTTTCCAGCTTTTAAAATAAAAACATTCACCCAACAACCCCTGCTTCTCTATGGTTACATTCCAGTAGCTAGGTCAAAATTGCGTGTTTCCTGTGCATGACATGCCTGCTCCAACTGACCATGTGTATACCTCTGCAAACTCATTCTCTTTCTCATCGCTACCATGGTGACATGTTTAACCATCTAAGAGAAGTTTTCTTGTTCTGTTGCCAAATTCTGTGGAGAATTACACAACCTACAAATATAGCCAAAAAGGACAGACAACTTATTCTACATCGGACCCGCACACCTTATGTAGTGACTGTTGCGGGCAGCGTTTATTGAACTCACAGTCTGCAGAGTGCCATGCCTTGCCAGATTCTGCGTCTATTTTCAGCAATGTCGTCATAGGTTATCGAACTGGCATTCTAAGGCCCAGAATTCAACTAAGAAATCCATGACCACGGATGATACAATATCTGACAGATATATTCACGGATGATATTTCCAATACCGAACCATTGAACTCTTCACAATCTCCTATACAAGCCAATGTTCGTTCTGTCCAACTGTCTGATCCCAAGCAAGCTCACGCTCCCTTTCAAGCGGCCGATGGCGCTACAACATTTAAGATAACACACTTGTAATCTACTTGTTCTGCTCCTACAGCTGATTGTGATAAGATCGATGTTTCTACTACCTTCAGGGGCATTCCCAATCGTCACGCAAAGTATCAATGATCAAATTCTAAGAACAAGGATCCGGGCTCCCACTCCCAGGATCGGCACTCTGGCTGATAACAAACATCCGCACCGCGATTGTAGTGACTCACATTCCTGGTCCACTTCGTATGACCGCCTCGGCTCTCTCACCCTCAGGAAGTTCTACCGACGACAGGGATCGGTCTTCTTCTGTTGATTATCAACATGGCGGTTACAACTATGGGAACTATCCAGTAGTCGATACCTACGTGAATCGTAGATAGGAATGGGATGCTTACCCGGTTTATTGAGACCCTTATTACCAGCGACCCGGATACCCCTACCCACCAAGTTTTCTCGACTACTGCTCTACTACTGGCTATGTTCATTCTCTACTCTGCCATCCTCTTACGGAAGGTCCCTTATATGACGACAACCCTCGACCTTCTACTAAATCTAAGGATCGTAGTTCGTCAACACATGGGGAATGTCAGAGCCATTCCCGAAGCCGATCATGTTCAGTTCACAGATCACCAGATCGCTTTCCCACTAGGTCAGCTCCTCCGGAACCTTGTCCACCTATCTTGCCCATGAGTTGGGATCACCGTGATCAACAGCAGAGTACAAAACCATCGTTTGACTCCTTAATGAAAGCCATCACTCCAGTCTTACTTCAGCATTCCGAAACTCTGTAAACTTCTCAGCCTATAGATGTCACTCTAGCTCCAGTTACCTCCCACTCGATCCCTCCCGGGTTGGGTGGTTCAGCCTCGGCCACTCTGGTCTGCAGGATCCCACAGCTAGCTCACACCCACCCGGTGTGCTTGAACATCACTCATCACCATAACTCCTTGGTTTACAGTTTTGAACCCAGAGACCCTGAATCAGCCCATTGGATCACTGACAAGTTACAGTTACATCATACATTGTCTGATGCAGATCTGTTCACAGGGTTCTCAGTTCCGTCAGCTAGCTCATCCAATATTACACTTCCTCCCAGACCAGTATTATTGGACATTAACTCTAACCTGGCTACGGCCTTCTTTTCTTTCAGTCATGTACAGTATTTTCTTGAGTATAGTGCACACTTTTTTTCCAAAAAACACAGTTGTGTAGAAGGGGGTGCGCATTATTATTATTTATTTCCCCCCTGCGGAAATACCATGTCAACAAATCCATACTGAAGTACGCAAATTAATCAAGTAATTACACAGTCTGGCTATAAAAAGTGTTCTATGTATATCTGGACTTATGTTTGTAACATATTTCATAAATTTTATTAAAAATTCCTTTAAGAATTGCTTTAATTAATTTTGGCGAAATCGTGTGTGAAGCGATCGGAAGATCGCACAACTCACCGTTATTAACAGCAACAGCGGTCAGATTACTGCTATTGATGCCTTGAAATGAACTTTAGTTGACAGAGAATGGATTACCATATCATAAATGCCATACTTTGACTCGTTAAAGTTCATATTTGTTATAGTTTGACGATGTCAACACGTAGTTCTCGCGATCACATGTGTGGGAGCCTCGACGGTGACTGGTCAAACTGGCTCAACATCATCCTACATGGTTGAAGATTGGGACCTTTCATATTTGAATACCACGGTACGCCGTACGCACTAGGATTATTTCCTTTAAACGAGGAGGGATACTCCTTATACGGGATAAGCTCACACACATCCTTGACCTCCTCTCTCACAATTCTGGCTCAATGACAGTTCTTCGTCACCGTGGGGTACTACAGGGACAATCAGTTAAAGCAAAGCTCTATCAACAACCTTGGTCTTCATGCACCATTTGCAGATGTGATCCCGCAGGTTGCTCAAGATGTACAGAGACTCTATACTCCAGGTCACTGTGGACTTTTTGCGTCTCCAAAAGAGACAGTTGGAAGATCAGGAGAAGAAACAGTTCGTTCCTGCCCAACGTGATTTTTGAGAACTTCTCTCCTCTAGACCTAATCCCTTTCACGGACGCGGAAGAGGACAAGGAGGTTCAAGACCCTTCGAAGGACAATCCATCTCCACTTCCTGAGGGGGAGGTTCAGCAGGGAACTGACTCCTTTTCACTACAGCATGACTGGGAACTCCAGCCATTCCCGGTACAGACAAACCCGTAGGCGAAAGACTAAGGCTATTTGCAAGCAACTGGAGCATCCTTTGCAGACCCCTTCATGACACAGTTACTACAGCAAGGATATTGACAACCACTGACCTCGCCACCTCCTGTGACGTTCCAGCCCCTACAGAGAATGTATCCGGACAGGCAACAACCAACGTTGATCAACACTCTAGGTACGTTACTAGTAAAAAACGCAATTAAATGTCTTGGCCTGCTTCACGCAACTCCGGGGTTTTATTCACCCATTTCCTTGTCCCCAAAAAGGACAGTCTTAAACTCTGGCTCATCTTCAACATAAAGGTATTCAACACAACGTACTTAGAAGTCTTGCCACATTTTCGCATGACATCGATCTCGTTCCTTTGCATGCTCATTCATCCGACGATTTTATGAAAAGTCTCGACCTCCAAGCCGCTTATCTGCACGTTCCCATCCATCGGGATCACCGTCACTTCCTCCTGTTTGTTTTTCAAGTCCACCACTACCAATGGAAGGTGCTCTCATTTGGAATTTATTAGGCCCTGTGGCTTTTTACCTGCCTCACCCAGCCCGTCATGAAGTTCCTACATCTTAGCATGATCGTGTTTGATTCATATCTCATTCAAATTCACGTAGATGCCGATATCCTCTGTCAACAACTCAACTTCACATGTCGTCTTCTAATGCAACTTGGCAAGCTTATCAACGTAAACAAGTCTGAAGTCATTCCTACACAATATCTCCAATTCATAGGAGTCCTATTCGACACTCGGCAGGGTATGATGTTCATCCCGAACGTCTGGGGGGTAAAGATTCAACGATACTTTCTGTTGGCACTCAAACAACCGCTCCGACTCTGCAAATGGCAACAACTCCTGTGGTCACATCAATGTTTTCTCATGCCCTTTTTCTGGATCGATAACTCTATCTCCATCCTTGTCTTAAATGGTGGCTGGTCGCATCAAATGTTTGCGGAGGGGACGCTTTGAGGCCATTCGTCCCATCCCTCCATCTGTTCATCGATGCTTCAAATGTAGGTTGAAGAGATCACTTTTGAGATCTGCATATCTTGAATTCAAGGCAGCAATTCTAGCGGTCTCACACTGGTCAGAGCTCATACGCTCCTCTGCCCTCATGATCCATTCCGTCAACACTGCGGTCGTGAGGTACAATAACAGAATGGGATCCACAAAGTCGATGTCCCTCCTCTCCCTCGCTCTACAGTTCTTTCAACTAATTGACTACCTCAACATCCATGTCCAGGCTCCCCACTGCAGCCTGTGCTGGTGAAATTCATGCTTTGGATGTCACCAGGGTTCAGTTTGAGAGATCTAGAAGGGGTAGGGCATTCATGGGCCTTTGTTGGGATGTCGTGGTAAAGAGTCAACTTTCTGGCCAGCCTGACCGACTATTTACCTCTTCCTGTGCTCAGTTCGAGCATTTTGACTATATCTAGATATGTCTTGCCCCCACACAACGTTTCATCCTGTTGTCATCTGGTTCTACATCGGAAATCCTTGTACAACTATCCTTTTGGCTCTGTTTCATTATCATTCAAGCATATTCCTTCACCGGGCTGCCTCCACCTACTACGTCCAACCCTTATGAGACACTAGCGGTTGCTTCTACCATGGCCCTCCACAGTAACTGCACCCTTTCAGCTATCATGGAAGGGTGCTTTTGGAAGTCTGATACAGTTTTTGCGTCTCACTACCTTTCGCGACATCTCAGTCACAGACGTCCAAGGGTTCCACAAGTTCGGTCCTTTGGTGTTGGCACAAAAACTGTCTCGCCCCAGTTCATGCCGATAAAGCTGTTATGCATCGAGATCCTTGCTGGTTACGATTGTATATACAGAATAAATCACTGAACATTTACTTTGGTGTTATGTGTATTTTTATTGTTCAGGTTTTCCCAGATCAAGTCCCTTTTAGAGGGTGGATTAGCTCGTCTGTAGAGACTTTTTAGACTTCATCTATGAAGTCACCATTAGGTGCGGCCGTTCATAAACGTAGGAACCGTGTCCCGATCCTTTATTCCGCTCACCTTTGCTTTGGGTATTTGTAAAGTAGGGTTTTGGTTCAAAGGTCCTTGCTATGGAATTACGGTTAATCGTTCCTCTTCTCACCTTGGCTCGCTTCATGCTTGATGAAGCATTAAAAGAGTCTCTATGGTCCATTGGAGATAGTGTTGTGTTTTGTTTGAAGAATCGATGCCTATCCAGGATCGATTTTAAGTTGTAAGGTGTTTTGCTTATGTGTTTACAGCTACGCTGTCGCTCTATAAGAATGATGACATATGGGGAAAAAACTTTCGGAATGTATGCCCAATCATGGTGTTTCGTTTGAGTGACATATCGGGATTGTTAACACTGGTTGAACGTGTGTTTTTCCCGCTGACAAGTTCATGTCTTTAAGACGCTAGACAGTTTAATTTTTTTTAAACAAATTCAAAATTACACTGTCAAGATCCAGCTTCCTTGTGAATATCTCACAGTTATAGTGCATACAGGCTAGGGTATCTGCGGCCCACCATCCAACTGTGGGATAACATGCAAAGTGTGAGAATCTTTAAAAATTGGAATTTTTTGTATAAGTTGTATATTTATATTCTTATTCTATCTCACACATGAAAGGCCCAGCTGACAAGGTAAGGATGTCATCTTTGGGATGACTCCACGCCCTGCTACATAATCCTCCGTCAACAGGTGGCACGTCCCGGCTACATAATGGCGCCCCACGTTGGGCGCCATAAAATTTCCGAGTCCTGTGATGGAATTTGAATCACAGGCCTTCTGATCCGAGGTCGGACGCCTTGTCCACATGACCAAAGAGGTTAACCCCGTCAGCAAGCTGACAAGGTAAGGATGTCATCTTTGGTATGACTCCACGCCCTGCTACATAATCCTCCGTCAACAGGTTGCACGTCCCGGCTTCATAATGGCGCCCCACGTTGGGCGCCATAAAATTTCCGAGTCCTGTGATGGGATTTGAATCACAGACCTTGTGATCAGAGGCCGGACGCCGTATCCACATGACCAAAGAGGTTAACCCCGTCAGCAAGCTGACATGGTAAGGATGTCATTTGTGGGATGACTCCACGCCCTGCTACATACTCCCCCGTCAACAGAAGGCAAGCTGACAAGGTAAGGATGTCATCTTTTGGATGACTGCACGCCAGGGGTCTGGAAACGGTCATATGCGCCGGACATGTTCGATTGGGAATCTCAAATGTCCGGTTAAAAATATTGCTTACCAGACATTTAAATTTTTCTGTCTGGACATTTAAAAAAGTATTGTATTAGATCAGTTATTCTCCTCACGAGGTACATAAGGCTATCCATATTTTTTTCTGTGTTTTCCATCTCCCGCCCGCCCTGTATTTTCATTGAAATAAGTAAAATAAACAAGTTTTCTTATCGCTGTGGAAATGTGTGCCCCAATGTGATAACAACAACTCTCCTACCATTGCACACTCATCTCCCCAGGTCAGCTTGATTTTTCTTCAGCTATGTTTATTAAGAATTTGTTTCCAAAGCAAAGCAACTCAATCTATGTTAATGAAAAGACTGGTAACAAGTGTTCTGAACTTTAAGATGTCATTAAATATGTTATAAACAACTATTTTATTTTTGGCTTTTTTTGTTTATTTTCGCCCACCCACCCTCTTGCTGGTTGAAGTTGGAGATGAGAAACAGATAAAAAATATGGATGGCCTGATGCTTTAGAGTTAAAACTTTGTGTTAAGTAAATATAACTTGTGTACTGCAACAATGTTATACAAGAGTACTTTCAGTCTTTCAAATTGAGAAACATTGTAGAGATTTAAACATTTCACTTGATTAAAGCAATCAAATATATAATGTAGAGTTATCATGGACAGTTGATTCAGCCAGGCTCCATCAAATCATCATCTGCACATGAGTTTTATGACTTACCACATTTTTTAATTGGTAGGATAAAAGAATTGACTTATACATATGAATTCTGTAGCAGAATGTATTTGTCCTAACCCAAGGCAATAGGACTGGAAATTCCAGGTGGAATGTAGTGATTTCTCTTGGCAGTGAAAGGGCTGCTTCTGTTCTCAAACACTTGCCAACAGGCTTCAAGTTATAACTTAAGATACTAGCCTGGAGAACTGCAGAGGCTTTTACTAGTCAAGATGAAGGTATGTTTATGACATTTATCAAGTTCAGTGTTGTGTTTTCTTTCTGTGTAGCTCTGATGTGGAGATGCTGCGTGTTGGAGTAAGCATCAGTGCCTTGGGCCAGCACTCGCCACCTGGACCAACAACAGGAGGGAAAACAGTAAGCAAGTGTTTGTTACATATTACAGTACTGTTCATACATTCATTCATGTTTCAAAGTGAAGTATACTTGAAATCTTTATAATACAATATGCAGCTCATAAACAGCCCATTTGTTTGGTTAAGTTATGGGGGTAAATTAAGGCAGCATTGATGAAGAAGCTAATCATGTTGAGGTCACTAAATATTCAGTTTCATGTAAGGATCCCGAGTTAAAAAGGTTTCGGCCAAACTTCTCGGCACACAACTACCAGAAACGGCCATTGTTGACTTTTGGCACTTCACGTTGAGCGGCATGCACTCCGATATTTTCTTTATAATTTCATCATTTTTCCTTTTCGATCATAATTTTTTGTTTTCTGACGAAAGGAAAATATTATGATCCTTAATTTCTAAAAATTAGCAACTTTCGGTGTAACTAATTGTAAACAAAAACAATCTGAATCGTAACATCATCGATTGGATGGAACTTGTACGATCATGTCAAAGGCGGTAAACAAACAACTCCACATGCATAGTTATCCCATTAGACTATTACAATCATTTTGTTACATCTAACTTAATTTTCTAGAATTATTGACACACATGTATAAATCTTTGTAAAAAAATCATTTTTAAAGCATTTGTAAATGATTTCGTTTTTTAAACTTTCGGACACATTGATAAGCCGACAAACGTCAGTGACACGTTTGGGCGTTGCCTTACTTGCGATTTGTTGAGTTGAACAAAGTCAACAAACACTGCAAAAAATGACAAATATTGGATGATAGGCAAGACCTGAACTGATATACATTCTAGGTAAACCATTCAATAGCAAAATAGTGCTGTTTACGAGAAATAATCAAAATACTTGCAATTTTAGCTATCATTTCTGTAAGCGGAAGCACGTACCGCATGTGACACATGGAAGCAAAATATGCAAAAGTTGGTAAGCTATCATAAAGAAATTCCGAAATAGATTCAAATTAAAAAGAAAATACATAATTTACTATTTTTCGTCAACTATTATCTATTTATTGATCTTCACTCATATTTGTTTCATATTTCTTCGTGATTGTCGCCATCAAATGTGTCAGTCTAAATCCGAAACCGTAATGGATTTCACGCTCGGTGACTTTAATTTAAAATTATTTTCTGAAAACGAACGCAATGGAGAGCAATATAACGTATTGATATGCCATAATGATAACAACATAATATTGTTATTGGTCTAACATTACAAAAAGAACAATTTAGAATATTAAAAATGTTGTTGAAACTTTCTGAGAACCTCCCGTCCTCTGAACCGATTAAAATTTTGGTACACGACGACTGTATGGAGGTTGTGCAAATATATATAGGCTCCTATATATGTGATTTTGTACCCAAAACAAATTAAATTGTACCCAAAATACTTTTTGAATTTGTCCCTAAGAAAATAAGACAGTAGATCTATAATTATATTTACACACAATAAAATATTTCATCAAGTTCATAATATATGATTATGACTGTGATCCTTGAAATTGATTGTTTAGTTTCTTGTCACTGAAGAAGAGGCCAGTTAAGTTGGTTAAACCTAAGTTAGAATGTATTGTTTTGATAGTATGTTAAGTTTAAGACACCAAAATTAATGTTTATCTTTGAAATAATTCTAGGTAGATCTACAAAATCACATACCCATTTGGGTACGAAATCACGAGAAATTTTGGGTACAAAAGTCACTAGATCTACTGTACATTTCAACTGGTTTTCGGGAATCAATGGGATAAAAAATGTTTTTTGTCTGAATGATTCCTTTTCTCATTTTAAGACAAGAATTTGTTTTACGTAACATAACAGGCAGATCTACACGACACACATTTTGTCCTAAAAATATATAAAAATGTGAAAAATATTGACACCTCAGACCTCAGAAATGAGGGCTTTTAAAGTTATAATTCTACCTAACTTGTCACATGGTTTCACTAAGGTCTATCTTAGGAAAGTCCTTATGAAAATCTTTTTAAATTTTTTTTTTTATGACACTAACAATTTCTGGCACATAGACAAAGAGTATTCAAGGAAAGACAGATATGTTTTGAATTGTAAATATGACTTTCCTTTATTATTCCCCGCCCAACAAAGTTGGGGGGGGGATATAGAAACGGGCTCTGTCCGTCCGTCACATTTAGTTTCTGGAGCATAACTCAGAAACCGTTCAATATTTTTCCATCAAACTTTGCAGGTCTGTCAAGTACATGCTGAACTGGTGTCTTTTGCTATTTAGAAATTTTTGAAATTTTTATTACTACGTTTCCATGGCAACAAGATGGGCTTAGGTTCTGTGAGGGTAGAGTTCGTTTCCGGAGCATAACTCATAAACCGTTCAATATTTTTTCATGAAACTTTGTAGGTTTGTCAGGTACATGCTGAACTGGTGCCTTTTGCTATTTAGAAATTTTAGAAATTTTTATTTTTTACGTTTCCATGGCAACAAGATGGACTTAGGTTCTGTGAGGGTAGAGTTTGTTTCCGGAGCATAACTCATAAACCGTTCAATATTTTTTCATGAAACTTTGCAGGTTTGTCAGATACATGCTGAACTGGTGCCTTTTGCTATTTAGAAATTTTAGAAATTTTTATTTTTCCGTTTCCTGTGCAACAAGATGGACTTAGGTTCTGTGAGGGTAGGGTTCGTTTTCGGAGCATAACTTATAAACCGTTCAATATCTTTTCATGAAACTTTGTAGGTTTGTCAGGTACACGCTGAACTGGTGCCTTTTGCTATTGAGAAATTTTAGTAAATTTTTATTCTTTACGTTTCCATGGCAACAAGATGGACTTAGGTTCTGTGAGGGTAGAGTTCGTTTCCGGAGCATAACTTATAAACCGTTCAATATTTTTTCATGAAACTTTGCAGGTTTGTCAGGTACATGCTAAACTGGTGCCTTTTGCTATTTAGAAATTTTAGAATTTTTTTTTTTTACATTTCCATGGCAGCAAGATGGACTTAGGTTCCAAACTCTTCTTTTTTTTACAATTTCCATGACAAGTTCCACCTCGGTTAAAAAAGGTTAGGGTTTGTTTAGATTTAATTATGTCATAAATTCTGCAACAGGGGCGGGGGATATAGCCACGTTAGTGGCAAACTCTTGTAATTCTTGTTTCATGATAACAGGGGAACTTTTACAGACACCAGCTGAGGAAGTTGTGATACTGTGATTGCATACAAAGGAACAACAGGTTTGCAATAGTAACTGTATATGCAAAATAGACCACATAAGTGAACTAAAGTTATGGGGCGTGGCTGACCAGAAACAAATACATCTGGTAAGGGTAAACATGTATACAGGCACATTTCTTTTCACTCCAACCAGAAGACTGAGATAGCATTTTCTTAGAAAAATATGGCTAACTCACCAGCTTATGTGCCACCATGGTTCTTGTGATTAATCAAACAAAAATGTCATGTACTGTTACAAGTAAGTAATGTATCATATTCCTATTACAAATATATTTTAGAATTGGTTTTATTTGGAAACAAACCACTTAATGCACAAGATGAATGTCCATATGAGTTTAGTATGTATATGTTAAGGATCTGATCAATTTATTCATTATTCATAGAATACTAAAATTAAATGACATCAAATAGTTACTTATTCACATAATTGATGTTCACTGTGAAAGATAATAATTGTAGAATAAAATATCTTTAAACTAAAGATAATAATTGAAGTTTGATCAGTAACACTGTGCTGATGCATTGACCAGTATTTAGTGTCCATACACACAATAATTGTGGGGAAAAAATAATTACTAAATATAAAAATATAACATAAAATTTTAAAACCTGTAAACAGCTGTGAATAATTAAACACTTACAAATCTATAATCAATACGCAATCATGGCGTTCTTCATATTTTTGGAATAAATTTAGGTGTGCTTCGTGAAATTGTTCTAAAAATCATGCTAGAATTTATGAAAGGAAAACTGTCCCAAATGTAATGTGGAACTAACACCGAAAATATGTATGTAGCATTTTATTGCTTATATATATCCTATCATATTCAACAATGCAGGAATGTTATTTTGAACATGTTTTGTCAAGCCCATTTTCGCGCACCTGTTGTAGAGGGTGATCTTGCTGATCGACGATATCCATAGACGTATTGCATGGGATACACTTATAATAGTGAAACTTATCAGCATGTACATCGCAGAAATTTGAATCATGCCCATTTATATTCACCGTAACACTGAATGGTGATTCTTAAATATCAACAAAAGTTCAAATAAAAAATACCGAGAAACTTGCATGTGGCATGTTGATTTATCGTGTATTGTTTCCGGGTCACGGGAGCATGCAAAGTCAAACAGATCAAATAATACGTCAATTATATCGTCAAAGTCACATTTTTATTTCATATTAGTGGCGATTACTGATACTATGTATTGACTTATGTTTTTGCTGTATGTGATAGGCGAAATATTTCAGAATTTACTGTAATTGTTTTGGTACTAAAAATTATCAGGAGACAACTCCTGTCTGTGACATCACATCCGGTGACCTTTGCACTCACTGAAATATTGCTGTCAGAATTCACGATCTTTATTTTCGTTTTTCTCTCGTCATATTAATTGGAAAATGACAAATAAAACATCCTTCGAATGGGAAGATCATCACCTTTTGCCAAGGCATATTTTCAAAGGCAATGTAAACTTTGTTGATATTGAAATAGCAATAAGTTATTCAGAGGTCGGGCGAAGTGCGCCATGTTTGATTTTAGGACATCTGCTAGCATCATGACACAGGTTGTTTATTTTTGTATATCGTAAATATTCAACCCAAACGCTTGAAATAAGGATTAGTGAATATTTATAAGTCATTAATTGTTTCCTGCAAATTTTAGAACATGACACGTCAGATTAACCTGAATGTTCGTATTTCTGCAACCGACATGATGACCTCGAAAATTAAGTTTAAATTAATATTTCTTCAATTGGCGCTTGTTTAATGAGGCACTGACTGTTTGAAA